CCAGTCCCTTCACCATGACCAACTGTGAACTGAAACTGATCACCTGGAACAGTGAGATGGCATTGGTACATGCCACCTCGATGGGATTGAATTGGAATCCCCTGGTATGCTTCCAACTCCACCACTTGGGGCAAGTCAGCCTGAGCATGTCCCAAATTATACATCTCTTCCCTCTCCCATTCCCACCACCATGTTCAACAGGGATCACATTTCAGTTAATTTTCAACACTTAAGAATAACTGTGCATCAATTACAGATCTAAACCAGTCATATTAAGTAGAACAGATAAAAAAAACTACTAAGAGGGATAATGTATTAAGTTGTTCATTAACAGTCAGGGCTATGCTGATCAAGCCACCGTTTCCCATAGTGTCCACCTCACTCCAACAGGTTTCCCTCTTGGTGTTCAGTCAGTCGTCACCGATCAGGGAGAACATATGGTATTTGTCCCTTTGGGACTGGCTTATTTCACTCAGCATGATGTGTTCCAGATTCCTCCATTTTGTTGCAAATGACTGGATTTCGTTGTTTCTTACTGCGGTATAGTATTCTAAAGAGTACATATCCCATAATTTCTTTATCCAGTCTATCGTTGATGGGCATTTAGGTTGGTTCCAGGTGTTTTGTATTTTAATGTTTTAAAATTGAGTAGAAATTCATTTTCATGTATGAGATAAGCCCTAATTAAAATCTAAACAGAGCACTGGGAAAAGTTTGGGAAAGCTCCAAGGAAGGTAGGCAAGGGAAAATTCTTCTTAGCACAAAACCAGGACTTTGAACTTGTAAGATCAACATTAGTAAGGGGGACACTTCTGTCTTAACATAAAAAGGCCCAACAGGAAGCACACACTATGAACAAGATAAAGATTTGAAGAGAGACAGTTATGATTGAGAAAATAAGACAGAATCCAAAAGGAGTTTTGAAAAAAGTTTTTGTGTTAGTCCATTGCAGGCAACCATGGGATAAATTGCACAATGAGAGAACATCAAATATAGGGATTCTCATTTTAGATTTTCTGTGATCCAACTGCATTGACTCAGATGATCTTTACCGAGTCTCTTCTTTCTGCTTCACTTAAAATATTAAACATTTACGGTGCCAGCGCCGTGGCATAATAGGTTAATCCTCCGCCTGCAGTGCTGGCATCCCACGTGGGCACTGGTTCTAGTCTCAGCTGCTCCTCTTCCAATCCAGCTCTCTGCTATGGCCTGGGAAAGCAGTAGAAGATGGCACAAGTCCTTGGGCCCCTGCACCCACATGGGAGACCCGGAAGGGGCTCCTGGTTCCTGGCTTCGGATAGGCGCAACTCCCGCCGTTGTGGCCATTTGGAGACTGAGCCAGTGGAGTGAGGACCATTCTCTCTGTTTCCCTCTCACTTTCTGTAACTCTACCTCTCAAATGAATAAATAAAATCTTTAAAAATATTTATTAGACAATTTTTATGTTCAAGGTGTCATACTGAGTGTCAGAGTAGCATGTCTCAATGGGTGGAGCAGAGACTAATCTCATTAGAATTTATTAAGTTTCACTCCAGAAATAGAAATTTCGAATATCTGGGGGAGGGGGAGGGATAATTTCTTGGCAATTTTTTGGCACATTTAAGTGAAAGTGGGTGTTTTTTTGAGAATAAAAAATTAATGAGCTATAGTTTGTATCTTCAAAAATAGTCTGAACTAAAAACAATTTTCCTTAAGGTCCTTTGTACTAGGCAATTTTTAAAAATCATTTGATACTCATTTCTTTCTTTAAGTTTTATTATTTATTTGAAAGATGGAGTGACATAGACCATCCATCTGCTGGTTCACGCCCAAATGCCCACAATAGCTGGAGTTTGGCCTTATGAAAGCCAGAAGCCAAGATCTATTATCAGTTTATTTAATGATCATAAAGTTAACCTTACACTAAGAGTTCAACAAACTCGTTCTTCAAACTTGTTCTTCAATGGAAGAGAGAAGGGCTGTATCATTAATGTTTTATAACTTTCAGTATGTAGATCTTTCACTCCCTTGCTTAAATTTGCTCCTAAGTATTCTTTTGTTTTTTATATCATTGCAAGTGGATTTATTTTATTTTCTTGATTTGTTTTGCAGGCTGCTGTTGTTAATATAGGATGCCAGATAGAAATGTGACTAAATAATTGGAAAGTGTTACTGATTGTGTGTCTTGTGACTTAACCGTGGATTTGTTTATTAGTTCTAACAGTTTTTATTAGGTCATGAGAACAAGTATTGTTGAGGATGTGAAGACAAGGGAAACCCTAATAGATTATTGGCAGGAATGTAAATTATTCCAACTATTTGGAAAGACAGTATGGAATTTTCTCAAAAATCTAACAATAGAATTAACCTTATGACCCAAGATTTCATTCTCATACTTGGTATATATACCAAAGGATTGAAATTAGGATGCATAAGTGATGTAAGCATTCCCATGTTCCTTGAAGCATAATTCATAATAGCCAAAATTTGGGAACAACCTAGGTGTCCGTAGATAGATGAAAGAATTTAAAAATGTGAGACATACACATATCTATGTATGAGATGGATCTATAGATGGATGGCTATTAGATGACAGACAGATAGCTAGATAGCTAGATAGATTTTTGAAATAGTATTCAGCCTTAGTTTTAAAAAAAATAGGAAATACCGTCATTTGCAACAACGAATAAACCTAGAAAACATTATGGTAAGTGAAGAGATCCAGCCATGGAGAAGCCAATAACACCTGATGTCACTTATGTGGAATCCAGAAATGCTGAACTCATAGAAGTGCAGGGTAGAATAGTGAGTACCAGGTGTCTGAAGGGGAGTGTGGATGAGGAAAGGAAGATGTTGGTCCAATGAATTATGAAATTATAACTTATTAGGAGGGATTCTGTTGCACAGCAAGGTGCCTATAGCTATAATAATGCATATTTCAAAATGTTTAAAGGAAGATTTTAAATGTCCTAATCCCAAAGAAATAATAAATATTTGAAGTGACAGATATGGTGATTGCTTTTCAATCATCATTCCAAATGTATACCTCAATTGAAACATCACATTTTATTCTTTTAACTAAAACAAAACTAAATTTATGAAACAAAGAAACAAACAAACCTTGATCTCAAGCACTCTGATATGGGAGGCAGGCACCCCAAGAAGTGATGGCTAAGTCTGTTGTGCCACAATTTCCACTCTTGTATGATAGTCATTATTTTTTCATAACAAGTTAACACTTTACAAGGCACTAACTGCAACTTAATAAGTATAATTTTAACTATGCTATCTGGTTCTACTTAGCCATTTTTGACACGCTCTGGATAAATCACATGATCAGTCAGTTTCATATTCTTATTTTGAATCAAGTGAAAAAGTAAACAATCAACAGATGCATCACTTTCTCTGTGATTTTAAGGAGCACCCAAGGAACTATGATTAGCAGTTAGTGAACTATTGGGATCCATTGCTAACTACTTCTCTGATCTTGGGCATATAACTTTACATATGTAGGCCTCTGCTTCATTTTTCTAAGAGGGACCAAATTATTTAGATGACAAAGTCCCTATCTTTCCATGTCGTTATGAATAATTTGACAAATGAGATCAGATAAGTGCTCTGAAGTGATGGTGGCAACCTCCTCCTATGTGTTTGGATCTTGGCTTTAAGCATGGGAAAACCGCAGATGAACGATACCTTTTTTCAGAAGTTGTTCTGAATGTACTTGTTCCTTGGTTTTCCCCAAAGGTATAAACTTGCATGTTTCCTATGTTCTACTTTCTGTCTGGAATTCCACTCATCCCTTTGTCTGTCTAATAAACTTTACAGTACTTTATGTATACTTCTTTTATGTTAATAACTATATTATATTATACACTTCCACATGTCTCCACCCTATCTTAACCAAAGTAAAAACTTGTTCACTGTTTCAATTATCTTTGTTCCTTGAAGGCACACAATAATGCCCAGCACATAGTATATGTCCCAGAAATGATTGCAGATATAAATTCAGATATATAGGCATGCTTGCAAGTACAATTTAAAAAGGAAAAGCAGAAAACAAATCTAAAACAGAGTATCCTACCATAAACATATCAGTTCTCTTTTTTCAGATTTGAATAAACTTTCATTTCAATAAAAATCATGGAACACTTATACAGTTTGTGCATACTCATTGATATGAGCTTTAAAAGGTATTTAACATAACATTGATGAGAACTAACATTGACATAATTTTAACAAGACATGAGCTAATCTGGAAAACAGGCCATAGGCAGAGACACGGTTCACATGTGAGACAGCTCCTACCTGTTAGATCTGCATTGGGCCACCAGCCCAAGTCACAAGCTTTACAGGTGAACTCATCTTGCACAAATTCATTCTCTTTGCAGGCTGTGCAAATCCAGCAGCAGCTCACTTCTCCTTTACGTATGACCTGGAGCATAGGGAAATTCCACATGTTTTAAAGATGGTTTCCTCATGGACTCTTCTTTTCCTGAGGACTTATTTATACACGTACCATGATTTTCTTCATACTATGATTTTTTTTTAAAAGTACCCTTGGAAAGGACTTTTATGGTGAGAAACCATGAGAATGTAGATTGAATTGCACATGTGAAAGTCAATTTATTCCATGCTGAGTTTGGAGACTTTTCAATTCATAGGCTGAGTTGATTATATTATTTTTAGAACTAAAAATGAAAGCCTAATTTTATTATTGCTTATATTAATATTTATTAATTTCTCTCCTAATTGTAAAGTTATACATTTTTCTACCCTGAAACTTCAGAGGTTCTTATGGAAAAAAAAACCTTACTAATATATACAAATTATAATTATAAAAAATATAAATACTTACAAAAAACTTCACTCAGAAACAACTATAAATACATAAAGACAGAATGATGACCCAGAAAATATAACTCTGCATTGGTTCTGTTTGTTTGGCTCTATTGAATTCAAAAGATCACATCTACTGTTATAAGAAGAGTTGCTTGGCTAAGATCTCTGAAGAGGTGCTTATTATCTGAAAAGCTTAAACTTTTCCTATTTTCAGTTTGATAACTAAAGTTTCTTAGAGATAGCACATAATTTAGTCCCACTTTCATCTCTAGTCTAACAATTTATTTTACTCATGCCTAGTGCATTTATATTTATTATAATAATAATAGGCTAATAATAGGCTAATTTATTATAATAATAATAGGCTAATCCTCCGCCTGTGGCGCCAGCATCCCGGGGTTCTAGTCCTGGTTGGGGCGCCGGATTCTGTCCCAGTTGCTCCTCTTCCAGTCCAGCTCTCTGCTGTGGCCAGGGAGTGCAGTGGAGATGGCCCAAGTGCTTGGGTCCTGCACCCGCATAGGAGACCAGGAGGAAACACCCGGCTCCTGGCTTCGGATTGGTGCAGTGCGCCGGCCTTATGAGTCTCTTGGGGGGTGAACCAATGGCAAAGGAAGACCTTTCTCTCTGTTTCTCTCTCTCACTGTCTAACTCTGCCTGTCGACAAAACATAAACGGAATCTGGAGAAGACTATTACTATAATTTATATATTTACTATTTCTGATGCTTTTAATACCTTTCTATAGACACAGATTTCTGTCTTATGTGATTTAGTATCTCTCTAAAGAACTTTCTTGACATTTTTATCAGTGCTGGCCAAACAATGCTATTAATCTCACTTATTGCAATATTCTCAAGTATTTTTATCCCTACTTCAGTTTTGCTATTTTTTAATTTTCATTTTTCTTCCCATATTTGTTTTTAAAAGTCCTTTAGCATATATTCATTATAGATGTTTTAATGTTTTTGACTGCTAATTCCATCATCAATATAATTTCTAGAACTGTCCTCTGATTTGCCTTCACTCCTCGTAATGTGTTGCATTTTCCTATTTTCTCATACACCTAAAAATTTTTGGACAGATGTTGGACATTAAAGTGTGAAGTCTTGGATTTGTTTTCTTCTTTCCTTAAGGAGTGTTGGCCTTTGTTCTGGCAGGCAATATAAGTTATTCGTAGTTTAGTTTGTTCCTCTTGGTCTTTGTTTAAAGTTTCTAACAGCAAATCTAGGATAGCCATCTCCAGGAACACCTAGCCTTGTGATTTAAGTGTGACCCTTCTACTGTATCTCCTCTGTGGTTGGTGGAAGCTGAGAGAGTTCCTGGCTCCAGGTAGGCTCTGGGAATCTAGCTCGCTAGCACCAGTTCCTTACCGGTACCCTGAGAATCCCATCCTACTCCATATAGACTGGTCTTCAGTCAAATACTCAAGGAAATGGCCCTACTAATTCATAGGGTTCCTTTTTTTTTTTTTTTTCTAAATCATTCCCTCCCTTTTCATACTCTTCACTATGAATTTCAACTGCTTTCCCAAATTTTGTTTCTGTCTCCCTAAGTGCTCAAGATGACCAAATGCTATTTGTGTTCTTAGCAACAATCAGGAAAATGCCTCCAGGCAGAAAGACTGAGTGATTCCAGGGTTTCCCTTCACATTTCTGGGACCAAGCTCACACACTTTATTTTACTGTCCTCAACACAGTTACTTCATGTATTATATCAAGTTTTCTCATTGTTTACAGAAGAAGGCTAATTATAGACCCTGTTACCCCCTCATGTCAGGAGCAAATGTCTCTCACAATCATATTAAAAATGATCAAAAATCCGATATGTAGAGTCAGAAATAATACTGTAAATATTGTCACACTTTAAAATAATGGCAACTTTAACCTACATGAAAACAAAAATATTTTCTTATGGGCTGATTAGCTTAAAATTTATACCACTATTTAGAGTTACATTTTAAAAATTAAATCTTTGGGCCGGCGCCGCGGCTCACTAGGCTAATCCTCCGCCTAGCGGCGCCGGCACACCGGGTTCTAGTCCCGGTCGGGGCGCCGGATTCTGTCCCGGTTGCCCCTCTTCCAGCCCAGCCCTCTGCTGTGGCCAGGGAGTGCAGTGGAGGATGGCCCAGGTGCTTGGGCCCTGCACCCCATGGGAGACCAGGAAAAGCACCTGGCTCCTGGCTCCTGCCACCGGATCGGCGCGGTGCGCCGGCCGCAGCGCGCCTGCCGCGGCGGCCATTGGAGGGTGAACCAACGGCAAAGGAAGACCTTTCTCTCTGTCTCTCTCTCTCACTGTCCACTCTGCCTGTCAAAAAAAAAAAAAAAAAAAAAAAAATTAAATCTTTGTTCTTTTACTTTAAAATAACTTTTGAAAGTATAATCATATTTAATATTTTTTATAACATGATTTATTTATTTGAAAGGAATAGTGATAGTGACAGAGGGAGAGAAAGACAGAGAGAAAAAAGTGACAGAGATCTTCCATCCACTGCTTCACTAGCCAAATGCCCACAACAGCCTGGGCTGTCAGGCAAAAGCCAGGAGCCAGAAATTCCATCCAGGTCTCTCATGTGAGTATCGTTAACCCTAACTCTTGAGCCATCATCAGCTGTCTCCCACACGTATTAGCGGGAAATTAAATCTGAACACAGGGAGGTTGGGACTCAAGTCAGGCACCATGATATGGAAAGCGGGTGTCCTAAGCAGTGTCCTAAGTTATTCTATCACAAGACCTGGCCCAAGTTAAATACTTTTTGAAAATTAAAAATAAAAAACCACATAACTGTCCTCAGAATAGATATGGGAAATTTACCTTATAAATGATATCTTTTTCTAAACAATGTAAGAAAAAAATGAATAAATGATTGCCATTTTCTTATTTTAGTTATGATAAGCTGTACAATAAGAGCAATCACAATATATTCTAAATCACTTCAATAAGTTTCATCTCTTTCTTCCAATGTAAAATTAGTATTTGCTAAACAAAATCAAAATATGATTACGTGAAACAAATTTACCAACCCATTTTCCTTGTCCTTTTAGTGTTTACTATTAAATCCTTCAACTGTAGGCAGTCAGATCAAGGCATAGGATCTCATCAGGTGGTGGATTTTATCAGGAAATGGTGTCATATCCTATCTTTAGTTATTCTATATTTTGACAGACATGTTGCAATGCTAGAAACATTGCAAAATAAATTTGATGAGAATATTTTCCAAGTTTATGTAGTTGGTTCCAAAAAATTTGAGTTTCATTTTCAACCATTATATTGATCTTGTCTTTTTCTCTGAGGACATTAGAGAGTGATACTAGCAGATGTATTATAACTTGGAATAGGAACATTATAATGTGCCCATGTTCTCTTGTTACTGCAAGGCTTGAGCTTAAAGTACATCTGTTTCCTGTGGTTATCTCTGTATGAAACAGTGAGAAAACTTGTTAGCAAATAGTACAAACACACACGCACACACACACACTCACACATCTCAGCTTTTGGTATCTGTGGGTTCTGTATTATGGATTCAAGCAATTGTAGCTCAAAAATATTCAGAACAATTGTATCTGTATTGAACTTGTACACACTTTTTTTCCTTGTCATTATTCCCTAATCAATACAGTACAACAACTATTTACGTAACAGTTACATTGAATTAGGTATAACAGGTAATCTAGAGATGAGCTAAAGGAAGATGTATGTGGGTTACATTTAAATACATACTCTTTTATACAAAAGACTTGATTATCTGTGTATTTTGGTATCTATGAGGACTCATCAAACTGACAGATATCCTGCAGATACTGAGGGATAACTCTATGCACAAATACAGAGATATATTTTCATATATCCTACTTTATACATTCTGGAGTATCAAAGTTATCCTCATCACATTCACATTCATTTTATTACAATTAGAAAAGGTAGGATGATACTAATCAAGAGTGGGTATCAATCTTCCAGAAAGAAAGCATCCTTTTCAAATAATGCTAGAATTGAGTGCAAATAAGTAACTGAAAATATGTAGAGTTATTTGAAGAGTAGGCAAATGTACAGAGGAAGAGGAAAAAATGTTAAAGCAAAAGATCTAGAGAGAGAATTATTTAACAACCCACCTACTAAGAGTGATCATAAGTTGCGTAAGATGTCAAAAGTGTTGGAATCTGAGATCCTAACCCCAGTCTCTACAGTCTTGAAGATACATGAGCAAAAACAACTTGGCTACTTTTAAATCATTGATTTATGTTGAAGGGCAATGGGATCAATATAAAATTTCCATTAGTTATTGTATTTTAAAGAAGGATATTATCAGAAATTCTAAGTTTTCTCTAGACAAAATCCTCTAGAAGGATTATCTGATAATTTTCATGGCACAAATCTAGGGACACTTAAAGCACCAATAGGAGTCAAACATGAATGAGCTCCTAATGGACTCTTATCAATTTCCTTCTTACATTTTGAAGATATCTTTCATCATAGAGAAGAGATTATATTCCCTCTACATTTATACCTTTATACAACATGCATGTCTTCGGTCTCATTTCTCACTCTTAGAAAAATCTAACTCAAAGGGCTCAAGTACAGCAAGGGAATCTCCAGC